ATTGTTTCAACATTAGGCCTATGGGACACTATATGATTACGAAGAAGACTCTATCTCACATTATCTTCCTTGAAATGACATGAAGTTCAAGGAAATCCAAGACATCAAACAGGCTCATCCAAGACATCAAACAGGCTCATTCAGACATGTTTATTTGATTGACTTAAGCAACATATCAGGTTTGCCCACATGGCCTAGCTTGCAGTTGCAGAACCTAAAAAAACAGAAATTAATGAAGCACAAAAGCAAAGAATAGACTTAGAAATATCAAAATACTGACTTCATAATTGGCATTTGAATATTCTCATGTATCATATTCAGGGTGATTCCACATACCATTGAATATTCCATTCATATAAGAAACCATCACTAACAGCATCGTTGACTGTTATTAGAACTGTGAATCTGTGTTAACATGATGCTCAGACAACTTGGCCTTTTCACATCACATGATGCAAGAAATATCAAAGAAAAATCTCTTACGTGGTCAGAGAAGCACTTCCCTTGGTTGTAGTTCTACTTTGCACCTTCAGAAGTCCCTGCTTGGTACAACTTGTTCAACAAAAGCCTTCCAAGTTCTAGCCACCTACCATTAGAAATTAGACTTTGAAATACTGTGCCAACTACTCTTTTTTCACAACTTTTGCAATATGTTTGGGTTGAGGGGAATGGAGGGGAGGGGAAAAAATTCATCTATTTGGTTATCAAAAGAATTGGAGAGGAGGGGAGGGGAAGGAAGTCCTTTGCTTTATTTTTTCTATTAATTTATTTACTTATCCAAATGAAGGGGGGAGGGGAGGGGAATGAAAGGATATAATTTCCCTCCCCTTCCTTCCCCTCCCCTCCATTCCCCTTAATCCAAACATACAGTTAATTACAGGATTTTTAACTCTTCTGCCACATTGAAACACAGTTAAACAATGAGACTCGACACAAGTGCAGAGTTCTTAGCTCCCAAGGTTGCCTTTTTCACCAACAAAAGGCCATGGCAGCTGAACCCAGTCCTCCAACTCCCAGAATCTTAAACCATTAATTTGAGAAGTTTCAAAGTTTGACATGGAAAAGACAAGGACAGATACTTTGTATCAGATACCAAGAATTTTAGCAAAGCATCTGATACCAAGACTTGCTATAAAAGTTCTGTCAAGGTAGGACGTAGGAGACAGTTACAGCATCTCTTGGTTCTGCATAAGTTTGGTGATCTGGAAGAAGGTGAAAGAGAGAGAATTACCACAGCCTTCTAATCCATACTGCTGTCTTTGCTAAATATACTACCATGGAAATATCAGACACCACTACAGAATCTGACCCTCCAAAGTCTGCTCTTCCAGTAAACTCAGAACACAAGGCAATGGAGTTTCAATTATTCTCTGTGGCTGCACCCCATATGCAGGCTTTTCACCTCTCTTGGATCTCTTTCTTTTCTTGCTTTGTTTCCAGTTTTGCTGCTGCACCCCTCCTTCCAATAATTCGTGACAACCTCAACCTCACATCAACTGACATAGGCAACGCTGGGATTGCATCAGTCTCAGGGGCAGTTTTTGCTCGGATTGCCATGGGAACTGCTTGTGACTTATTCGGACCTCGTCTTGCCTCTGCCTCACTGATTCTTCTAACTGCACCGGCAGTTTACTTCACTTCCATTATTTCATCACCTATCTCTTTCCTCCTTGTGCGTTTTTTCACAGGCTTCTCCCTTGCCACTTTTGTCTCGACACAATTCTGGATGAGCTCCATGTTTTCTAGTGAGGTGGTTGGCACTTCTAATGGTGTTGCTGCTGGTTGGGGCAACCTTGGAGGTGGTGCAACACAGCTTATAATGCCTCTTGTTTTTTCTGTAATCCATGAATTTGGTGCAGCCAAATTTACAGCTTGGCGAATTGCATTCTTCATCCCTGCCCTGTTTCAAATGTCAACAGCATTAGCTATTCTGATATTTGGCCAAGATTTGCCTGATGGGAACTATCAGCAGCTGCAGAAATCAGGAGACAAACAAAAAGATAAATTATCACTTGTCTTCTATCATGGCATCACAAATTACAGAGGATGGATCTTGGCACTGACATATGGTTATTGTTTTGGAGTGGAGCTCACAATAGACAACATAATTGCTGAATACTTCTATGACAGATTCAATCTAAATCTCCAAACTGCAGGAATTATAGCAGCATCTTTTGGTTTGGCAAATATAGTTTCTCGACCTGCAGGAGGGATAATTTCTGATGCAATGGCAAAAAGGTATGGAATGAGGGGAAGGTTGTGGACATTATGGATAGTACAGACCTTGGGAGGTGTACTCTGTGTAACTCTTGGGCAGGTAAAATCTTTAGGTGCATCCATTGCAGTGATGATTATGTTCTCATTGTTTTGCCAAGCAGCATGTGGTCTTACATTTGGGGTTGTTCCTTTTGTTTCTCGGAGGTAAGATTTTGACAATTATACCTGCATTAAATTACTATTTTTCTCACTTAAATTTTTGTTCAACAAATAATTTCCAATAGTTTACTTATGATACTAGATTTCTAAGAATTACTTGAATTGGTTGATTGGAAAAATTAGTCAGAGTATGAATCCCATGCAGACTTCAAGTGAATAATGTTCAGTAGAAGCTGAAAAGGAAATTCTAGAGAGTGTATGTGAAATGAAAATATTGAGACAAAAGTTGGATATACAAGAAAGCATAGGATATAAAAATTATTAGAAGGCATTGAAAAGTCAGGCATTTCTTTCTAGTGGAGAATTGAAAGCTACACAATTTGCCTTCTTGGCTCACTATAATCCAAATTCTTTTGTTTGTTTTCTCTAAAGCAGGTTATGAATTTCCTAAAGCAATGAATCACCAATCAAAGAAGAGATGGAATAGCCTGATTCAGACAAAATAACTGCTAATGATCTTATGGATCACATTTCTGGACATAAAAAATGGAAAAAGAACTGCAGCTGACCTCTTAAAGTAGATTAGAAGTTAATTATTGCCACTGCCACATGCTGAGAACAAAATTTTCAATACCTATGAAGCATAAACCCATCTAAAATATGCCTATTGGCCCTCCCTCTATTCATTGTTGGCAGACTTCATACATAAAATCACAAATAGACAATAATGTTAGATTACTATTCAATTAGTACCTGGGAATGATGGTTGATTAAATACATAAAAATCATTTTCTTAATCTTCAATGGTTCCCACCTAATCTCTCTTTTGTGTTTAGGTCTTTGGGTGTCATATCAGGGATGACAGGAGGAGGTGGAAATGTGGGTGCAATTTTAACTCAACTAATTTTCTTCAAAGGATCCAAGTACTCCAAAGAAACAGGGATAACTCTAATGGGTGTGATGATCATATGTTGCACCCTACCAATATGTTTGATCTACTTCCCACAATGGGGAGGGATGCTTTGTGGTCCATCCTCTGGAAAGATTGCCAAAGAAGAAGACTACTACATGACAGAATGGAACTCAAAAGAGAAAGAAAAGGGTCTACACCAGGCAAGCTTGAAATTTGCTGATAACAGCAGAAGTGAGAGAGGAAGAAGTGTGGAGGCAGCAACTATGCCCTCAAATGGAACTGCACCAACAAATGTCTAACTGCTTCCCAAGTCACACCATCTTATTAGCATATAAAGGTCTATCTTCATCACCACATCTTAAAATCACTAAATTATGTGAAAAAATAAGTTTCCTTTCATATCTTTTTGATTTATAAGTTTTGAGGTTTGGTACTCAATCACTTAATCCATATTCTCATAAGCACCTTAGAATGTCACTAGCACTTCTCTTTCCAATAAACAACATCTAAAGCCATTACTTTTTTAATATTAAACATTAGGGACAAACTTGAGTATAGCAGAGTAGACACCACTAACTAAAAAATAAACCTTGAGTATAGCTAAGTGGGCACCCAATAACTAAATTATAAAGAGGTCAAAATTAAGGGTTCTATATCGATACTACCATGCAGCTAACTTACTAAGTATGAAAAAGAAAAAACATTAGGAACAAACATGAAGAAACACTGCATGCCAAGTATCCCACTTACAAACATATAATAGCCAAAATATAGATGATACCAAAAAGGAAAACAAAAATTGGGGCACAAAGAATGGAATTCAAAACGAATATCAGCCAAAAGAACTTTAAGCAATTGCTGCTCAGTCAACAAAAATCAAAATTAAATACACCATTTGCACTTTTTAAAACTAATGACATTGAATCGATATATTTGTTTTATTTTAATGATCAAATCTCAGGAGCAAAGCAACGCACATAGGGAAGACAAAAGCTTTGATTATAAAAATTGCAACTTACACAGAGAAACCAACTAACGGAAATTCAAAAAAAAAAAAAAATTGAGAGGAAAGAGCAGCAAACAATTAAAAAAATATAGCCTAATAGAATTACACCTATTTTTGTTCGAAAAAACAAATACCCTTTAAAAAGACCAGTATATTTAATGACTTAAGGGGCAAAAGAAGGAGAATCATATGAAGAGGAAGCAGAAACAGCATGCCTCGTCGTCGTCGGAACCGTAGATTTTGAGAGTTAAATCCACTTTGATTTTCCGTTTTGAGTATATCTGTTAGAAAGGGGATGAGCGGGTCACTGTAAGCATGAAGCAACTACCAGAAATGAGCAAAACACCTGCAAGCTAAAAATGGAAAATTAAAAAAAAAAAAAAAAAAAAAAAAAAAAAAAAAA